CTAGAGGAACAAGCCCAGAATACCCAACAGAGGAGAGAATAAGAGGGAGAGTAAAATAGGAAAGGAACATTCTGATCACCCATGAGTAAGAGGGAGGGAGGAGGGGAGGGATACTGGTTACAGGTATTAAGTGATTGTTTTAAATGGAAGTCAAGCTCTGGTGTCAAGAAATCAACATGGATAGTTGAGTGAGAGGCAATTTGTTTAGGATGCATGAATATATCAATTCGTCTGAACAATTACCACGTTCGGGAGCAGAGCACAGTCTACTAAGGACATGCTCCCTTTGCGGAGTGCTGCTGTCCCATTTTCCTATGTTAGTACCTGTTCTCTGCTGTGTGAAATGATCCAGGGCCAAGCCAGAATCCTAGATGAGGGCTCTCCCCAGAGTTGACCATGCATCCTCTCCTCTTCTTCCAGACCCCAGTCCGGTGCCCTCGTTCTCCAGCACCTACCACGCCATCATTGGTGGAATTGTGGCTTTTGTTGTCTTCCTGCTACTCATCCTGCTCATCTTCCTTGGCCACTACTTGATCCGACACAAAGGTCAGAGGCATCAAGTGGGTGGGTAGAGCCATCAATCAGGGGCAGGAAGAAAGAAGGCTTGCATGAAAGGCCTCTGGAGATTTAGTCTGACCCTTGGAGTATGGAAGGAAGGAAGGAAGGAAGCAAGGAAGCAAGGAAGGAAGCAAGGAAGGAAGCAAGGAAGGAAGGAAGCAAGCAAGGAAGGAAGGAAGGAAGGAGAGAAAGAGAGAGAAAGAAAACACACAGCCAACCCCTTCAGTGCCAACCCTGTGATCACTGAGCACCACCAACCCCACAGCCAAGCCTGATCACTCGGTGATCATCCAAGTAAAATCAAGTCTTCCCACTCCTTCAGCTGCTCATGCTGCTCTGCCTTCAGGTCTCTGCTGTAAGGCAGAAAGCTCCCGAAATGAGTCTCCAGCCCATTGCTTCCTGTACTATCGTTCTTTCCGTCTGTTTAGCCTGTTTTATTTCCTTCTCTGGTCTCTCCACTTCTCATTCCCACACCATCTCTTTCTCTCTCTCTCCTGTTTATGTCTACCCTTCCTTTCTGTATCTATGTTGTTTCTCTCATTCCTTCCTCAAAGGTGCCCTTCTCTGTGAGTGCTTCCAGTCAATAGCCTAGCTGCTCAGGCTGCTCTTTGCTGCATTGCACTTGCTTGTGCATGAGTACACGCCCATCTCTCCCCATCCCCTCCTTGCCCATATTATAGATGCGATTCTGATGAAGGGTGGGATTCATTATGCATGGGGGTGTGGTCAGGTGAGAGACATTGGCAGCAGAATGCAAATTAGGTAGTGTGGGGTGGAAGAAAGCTGTACTGCAAGAGCAAATCTCCATGAGCAAGGTGCGAGTGGGTGGCAGGGAAGTGGGTAAAGGCTGCTTCTGAAAGATGGAGCCTCTGTCTCTCCACAGGAACCTACCTGACACACGAGGCCAAGGGCTCAGACGATGCCCCGGATGCTGACACGGCCATCATCAATGCAGAAGGCGGGCAGTCAGGCGGAGATGACAAGAAGGAGTATTTCATCTAGGGGCACTCATCCACCTCCTGCTGCCCTCCCCCAGGGGCCCCGTGGGGACTGCTGGGGACATCACCAACCCGGACTTGTACAGAGCGGACCCCAGGGCCGCCCCTCCCGCTTGCTCCCCAGCCCACCCAGCCCCCCCTGTACAGAATGTCTGCTTTGGGTGCGGTTTTGTACTCGGTTTGGAATGGGGGGAGGAGGGCGGGGGGGGGGAGGGGAGGGTTGCCCTCAGCCCTTTCCGTGGCTTCTCTGCGTTTGGGTTATTATTATTTTTGTAACAATCCCAAATCAAATTCCGTCTCCAGGCTGGAGAGGCAGGGGCCCTGGGGTGAGGAAAGAAAACAACAACAACAACAAAATCTAGAATGTGAGGAGGGAAATGAGGGTTGGAGGGGTCCAAGGAGTACAGAGCAGGGTTGGCTTGCAGGTGAAGGTTCTCCCCAGCCTTTCTTCAATACTCGACAGTCGGCAAAGCAGCTTCCTAGGTTAATGCAGTAACCCAGGGATGGGAACAGGGACCAGCCACACACTGCAAGCCACAGGCAGGAGCAAGGGTCTCACTCACTCTGAACTCCTCTTCCCTCACAATGGGAAGAAGGGAGTGACAGGAAGGTCTCCCCAGGAGATGGGACCTGCAGGTGGTATGCAGCTCTAGGGGGACCAAGGGCTTCACCATGGAGAGGAACACGGGTTCCTCCCAGGAAGGGTAAGTTTGGAGAGGAAGGAGGATGGAAGATGGCCCCATCCACCGATTGCCTCCCTATGGTGATCGAAGACAGGCAGTGTGCACAACAACTGCTCTTGGGGACCAGAAGAGCTCAGCTCACCCTCCTAGTTCCAGCAGCCGTGGGAGAGTTCGCTCTGGGGCGTCAACTGCATCTGCTTCCCCCGCTGAGGGACCCCTCACTCTTACCCAAGCCCCTGGACTGTTGCACGGCAACCACTCCTCTCATGGCACTGCTCAGCAACGACTCCTCCACCTTGTGCCACCCTGTGCCCCTGCCCCTTCCCTCCGCCACCCTCGAGTCCTTCCTCCCTCAGCAGCCAGGCAGACATAACAACAAAAATACTAAACGGAGCTTCACTGCACTGAGCTGTTTCCTGCCCAAAACTAAGGGAATAATGTGAACTCTGCGTGTATGTGTGTGTGTGTGTCAGTGTGTGTTACGTGGGCATGTGTGTGCACCTGTGTGTGTAGATCTATGTGAATGAAAAGTATAGGAAGAGGATGATCAAGGGCCCAGAGGTCCTGGGCAGGTGGATGGGGTGTGGGATGTGCAAAAGAGGGCCCTGGAAGTGGAGGCTTCCTAGTCAGGGTTTGTACCTCATCTGGGACACTGCTCTATCCTAATTTTTCCCATGCCATTTCCAATGTCCACCCTGATCAAAAGAAATCCCACGGGTGTGTTTTTGCCCAGCTGTGCATTTCATACCTTGGTGAAACACAGCTCTCTCAGCCCCTCCCTCTACCTCCCATCTCCAAGCTGTGGAGTCAGTGCACCAAGCCTTTGCTATGCAGCCTCCAGGCCTCTCCCCGGCACTGACTCTCCATTCCCATCACCTATGCCCAGAGAGTAGAAGGCTGGGTCTTGTCCATCTCTGCTTTTTGGTTTTCTGTCTTCCTTCTTTTGGCCCAGCTGGTTGCTATGGAGATGAGGTGGCTCACCCTCCCTTTCCTGGCCAGCTCAGACCCAGGATGCTCCCGGCATCCCCCTCCTCCAGCATGTCCTCCCTGCTCTGACAACAGGCATTTGTACGAAATGGGGCAGCTGCAGCCCAACAGGGCTGCCCAATCCTTCAGTTCAGGTAATACCTTTATGAATCTTCCAGCTCCTGGCTTGGGCCGTGGACACCACAGACAGCCCCTCACCTAAGCCAGGACCCCCCCTCCCCTCCTTTTACAGCTGAAAGGGAGCTGTTGGGTTCCAGGCCTGTTTGGGCTCCTTGTCTCCCAGCACCCGCTTTAGGGAAAACAACTTTTCCTCTTCGAGCTGAACCACTCTACTCTGTCCATATTACACAGAAGCCATATTTGTACTGGGGGCGGGGGGTGGGGCTGGGGCTGTTGTGATGTGTGTGTCTGTCTGTGGGTAAGGGGTGGGGGATGGGAGCAGGGAGGGGATCGTGTATCTTTATAATCTTTCTAACTCTCCTGTGCTAATCTCAGAGGGGCCACCCTCAATATATCTGGATTATCCGTGTGGTTCGGCTGCCTCCTTTCTCCTGCTCTCACGGCTGCTGCTGGCCTGCCTGGATCTAAGGGGCCTCTCTGCTCCCCCTTGCCCTCGGCACTCAAGGGGTGTTGCGTTCTTGCCATGCTTCACTCCATCAAACAGCTGGATGTGGGGCCCGAGTGTTTGTGGTGGGGCATCCAGCCTGATGGCGGTGCTGGCCCATGCTAAGACTAAGATGGAGATGGAGGTGACAAACCCGGCTCATCCAGCAAGGAAAGAGCGACCATAACTCGGCCGAATTCTTTCTAGCCCCCCCTCATGTTTGAACCCCGTACTTGAGCTGATGCCCCCAAAGAGAAGGGAGTGAGTTTCTACAGGGTACCCATCCTTTGGACCTTAATCTAAGTGCTTTGCCTTAGTGCTCCTAAATGAACTATACAGAAGGCACTTAACACACTTGGTGCTAATGCACCCATGGTTGTCTGAATGAACTCCAACTCTCTCTGTCTCCTTGTGCTGACTTGGACCCTCTGGTTCAATTCTCCTCAGATCCAGGCTACATTTCCCCAAATGAAAAAACTAAATGAGAGGCAGAGAGGGGGGATGTGAGGAAACAGCAGAGCTCCTGGGAAAGCAGCTGGGTGAAGGGCCTTCAAGGAGAAGGTGCTTTGGCTTAGGAAAGCCCACCTGGGGGTTCCATACCCTTTATACTGGCCAGAGGGAAAAAACCAAACCAAAACAGCTCCAATCACTAGAAGACATTCTCCTATGACTAAGATGCCAGGCCAGTGAAGCAGTTCCTGAGCCTTTATGTCTCCCAACAGAAATATGAATAGGGATTACCCCTTGGGCAATAGTCCCATTTTAAAATATGCTGTCCCATTGTCCCCCAGAGCCTACTTTAAATGTGTCAGACCATGTGCTCTGCGTGGTACGGGATATGCATTCACTGAGCCCATAGGTAGTGAGGCAAATGCCCAAACTCTCCCTGAAGTAGCGTCATAATGCAGCCTTGACAGCCCTCCCCCCTCCCTTCCTCCCTCCCTCCCTGCCTGACATCCCCATACCTCCAGATAAGAATGCACCCACCCAGACACCACCTAGCAGCTACCGCTCATGTGCAAACACTGATACACAACACATGCACATGGAGAAACAGGTACCTTCTCCCACTCACTCTGATACACACAAAGTCTCCCCACAGCACGCACAATCCTCAAGCTGGGTAGATCCAACCACAAGCACCATGAACACCCTTTGCCACAAACGAGAGTGGCTTTTGAACTCTTTCCCTGGATCCTGCTCAAAGGGATGGAGAGCGGTAAGAATTATCAGCTGCCTTTGCACTCCAATTTCCCAGTGCTTCTCTTAACCTCTGCCTCCCAAGTCACCCCTGACCCTTTTCCTTCCTTGTGCTCCAAGAATCCCCACTTGCTGGAAAGCCCCTGGTTTCTTCCTTTCTACCTTTGGGGAAATGCCCATCCTTGTCTTCACCTTGTTCCTTTCCTGAGACCAGCAGGACCCGGCAAACTCACCTCCAAACAGGAAGTCCTTGGCCAGTGCCCTCATGTCTGCCTGAGGCTTAGGCAGGCTGTAGGCGTGGGGGGTAAAACTTCCTGAGCCAGTCCTCCCTGGCCCTTCCCAGAGCCTGAGGGCCTTCATTAGCCCCAGACACTTATCTCGGACACACAGCTGCTGTCAGCTTGTCTTGGCCGTTCTCTCAGCCTGCCCAGAGCCTGCAGCACCATGGGGAACTGTCTTTACCCGGTGAGTGTGGGAACCATACGTCACCCCTTCCCTTTTTGCCCCTATTACCCTTCCCATTACTCTTCTGGTCTTTATTCTGGTTGTATCCCTTCCTCCACTCCTTTGTTCTCCCTTTCAAACATCTTTCCCCCTTTTCTCCACTTTTCCCCACTCTACTGTTCCTTCACTGCAAGTTCCATGCAGGTGCCTCCTTAAACCCAACCCTGCCATTCTGCTTCTTAGGCCTCTCACAACACCTGTCCTGGCTTCTTTGTGACTCTAACTGCACGCCACCTCCTCAGCCTCTCTGGCCTGTCCTTCTCCACCATTCCCCTCCTATATCACACCATCTTCTGCAGCTCCCTTGATCTCTCAACCCAAGCTTTCCCTATGCCCTACCCTCCCAACCAGCCTCCACCCAAGGGGGCTGGTCAGGGGATTACTAGCTTTTCTGCTCGTCCTCTCTGGGTATGTCCTCCAGGTGAAGCCCTCCACTTCAATGGACAAGAACATAAGTCAGTTTACTTTTGAAGACTTCTGGAATTACAGCTATGAAGAGAACGACTCTTACCAGTCCCTTGAAGACTTGGAGATGCTGGATTCAGCGGCCCCCTGCCATTCCTGTAGCCTACTGGATGACTCCTCACTGCCCTTCTTCATCCTTGCCAGTGTCCTGGGTGTGCTGACGAGTGTTGCTATGCTCTTTGCACTTCTCCGACCTCTTTCCCACTGGCAGCTCTGCCCTGGCCGGCCCCTTCTAGCTCAGTTGACAGTGGGCAGTGCTCTCTTCAGCATTGTAGTGCCTATTCTGGCACCAGGGCTAAATAGTGCCCACAGCACCATTCTGTGCCATGTAGGCTCCTGGGTCTGGTACAGCTCAGCCTTTGCCCAGGCTTTGGTGATAGGGAGCCATGCCTGCCTGGGCCCCAAACTGGGAGTAAGCCAGATCCCAGGCCTCACCTTGGGCCTCACTGTGGGAATTTGGGGAGTAGCTGCCCTTTTAGGGTTGCCCATCACCCTGGCCAGTGACAGTCTCTGTCCACTGGTTTCCCGGAGGGGCGTGGGGGTTTTGCAATCCATACATAGTGTGATCTGTTTTGCCATCTTCACTGTATTGCCACTGTGTTTGTTGGGGGTCAAGGGGCTGAAGAAAGCATTGGGCAGAGGCCCAGGCCCCTGGGTCAACATCCTGTGGATCTGGTTCATTTTCTGGTGGCCTCATGGGGTGGTTCTGGGATTTGATTATCTAGTGAGGTCAAGAGTCTTGCTGTTGACAACGTGTTTGGCCCAGAAGGTTCTAGACCTGATGGTACACCTGGCAGAAGCCATGGCCATAGTACACTGCATGGCTACGCCCCTGCTCCTGGCCTTGTACTGCCACCAGGCCACTCAAACTTCCTTGCCCTCCATGTCTCTCCCTGCAAGAGGATCTTCTCATCTGGACCCCTTTGGAAGCAAATGCTAGTTCTTTTCCTCCCTGTCGACCTGAATTAAAGTGTATATTGCTTTTATGAAGTGAATGGTTTCTTATTTTGTCTAGGGATGGAGAGGAGAGAAAGGAGAATGGAGAGAGAAAGGCCTTTCATGCTAGACTTTGCAGGTAGCATCTGTTTCTCTTAGCTGGCCTGGGGAGAAAGTGGATGACATATAAATACCCTCAGGGCACACAGATGTTCTCTAGAACTGTGAGATTACTGCTTGGGGAAAGAAGCTAACTCCTTCCCCCTTTGCCCCCCCCCAAAAAAAACAACCAGAAGGAAGACATGGCTAAAACAGATAAATTAAAGAAAGAGGCTGTTGCAGGGAGAAAATAGGATAGGAAGAAGTACCCAAAAATGAAAACAAAGAGTGACCATTAAGCCTAAAGCAATAAATTGCTCCTGCTTGAACTGTCTAAACCCCTCCTCCCCCTGCTGCCTGTGTGTTCTATCTCCAATCCTCTCACTGGCTTTGTTTTGAGATCAGGGTGGCTGGGGGAAGAAATGTGGGCAAAGCATCTTGGGGAACATTTCTTGGTCTAAGTTACTTAGCAAGGTAATTTAAAAACCAACTTCTTAAGAGTTTCATGTCATGTGTGTATGTGTGTATGTCTGTGTGTCTGTGTGTATACATATCTTCATGTGTGTATATATCTGTCTCACAGTCGATTAGAACCTACTTTACATTAGATGCACGCATGCGTCTGTACATGGGCTTGCAGCTCAGTCAGACCACACATACCTGGGTGTTGCACTGGTCTCTCCCAGGGCCTCTCCTCTTCCTCAAGTAATTCTGCACCTATCCCTATTCTCAGGGCATGGAATCAGGATTGATGTCTCACTTCTTAGCCACATAAGTTTGTTTTGCTCTAGTTTTTGTGCCTAGGCTTTTCTATATAAGATGAGTAGAAGCAAGAAGAGATCCACAGTCCCTGAAGAGTGGAGAAACTTAAATGGGAGGCTCTTAAAGGATTCATCTTATGCTTAGGATTCCCTGAATTTCTCTTTCAAACCTCCTGGCTCCTGAAGTAGGCTTTCCTTTTCCATCCAAAGCTCTTCATCTACTTTCTTTTCTATAGTCTAGGTTCTCTCCTCTTCAAATATGCCCCTAATCCTTGAGCTTCTTACTCCTGATTGGAGGTTTTTCCTCAACCTCTACCCGACCTAATTCGGCTTATTATGGCAGGGGTGATGAGGACTCCCTCTTCATTGGGGTCACATCTACTACTGCCAACTACAAACTCACCTCTGACATGAAAATGTCACAAGAGTCCTTTTGCCAACTCAGTGGAAGGCTGGGGAAACTTATGCAGGTACCCTGCATCTGTGTCAACTTACCTGTGCTCTCCCATAAGCTGTTTCTGTGATTGGGATAAATGAGAGAGTGTGGGAGAGAAGCAGAGATGTCTTGGGCCACCTTAAGCAGGAGGGTGCAAAAGGCTCAGGGAATTTTCCTGGGTGGGTGCCTTGACAAAGCCTCTAAATCTCCCACCTCTTGTCTCTTAGCAACCACCAGCTTCAGCTTCTGATTGGTGCCCTATAAATTGAAAGGCGGGATCTAGGAACCGACTGAGACGCGGGAGACATTCTAAAACAGAAAAGAGAGAAAAAAAATGAAAAAAAAGGGAATCATTTACAATTCTAAATTATGCTCAAGTCTCCAACCACCGTTGGTGAATGTGTCCTAGCAGTTTTTTTTATTTTTTGGGGGGGTGGGTGTTTATTTGTTTTTCTTTTATTCCCTGTACAACCTCCTTTCAAAATCGTCCCTCTGGGCCCTGACTGCTTTCTAAATCCCACCAGATGTTGCTCTCCTCCCTTACAAGGGACTGGATTTAGTGGCTGACCTAGTTGAGGGGGAGGTGAAGCTGTTTGTGACTCCTTGAATCTTCCACTGTGGACCTGATGCAAGTGCTAACCTTAATTTAATACCGTTTGGGTTGTCCTATCTGCCGCTTACCCCGTGCTTCCCTTCCTCATTTTCTTCAGGTGGGGAGAACCCCAGACTCTCAAATCTATCACAGAGCAAAGGCCAAGGAAGAAGCTGGCAGCAGATAAGAGGACAGTGAGCTAGAGATAAATGTCCTCACTTTTATCTCCTCCTTCTTTGCTCCCAATGCTGGCTTCACACTAATCCCAACAAGAGTGGCCCTTTGCCGTCATTATGTGTGCTGCAACTGGATAGGGCTTCCTGAAATGGAACTGTGACTTCAGTCCTTCTTTACAGCTTGGGGGAGGGGAGGAAGGTGGACCAACTAATCCTGTCCATTTAACCCACTGTATGCCACCAACCATGCTTCCAGTAGCCAGCATTGGGTGTCTTTTCTGCAACTCTTCAGGAATACAAATCCAATTTCCTTAGAACCTTCAGAATTTAATCTCAGTATTGGCAAAGACTTTAACTCTGTATGAGTTCATATAGCAAAGGCCTCCTGGCTAACAAAAACTCTCAGGAAGATGAGAGTCAAAGAGACAAGCTCTTGGAAACACTGGATGCCTTAGGGAGGGTCAATTTATATTAAGGAAAGATTTTTTTTCCTAGAGGGAAGCTTAAACACCACGTTGGTGCTCCGGATTTGGACAGTTCACATTAAATACTGCTGGATTCCAGGAAACAGATGCCTGGTCCCCACCCTGTTTCACCCACCCCCATTTCCCGATCCTCCCTCCTCTCTACCCTTACTTCCCTCCTGGAGCCACTCTTGGAGGAATTCTGATGGAGAGCTTCCCTGGGATTTCAAATCCAATTCATTGCCAACTCTAATTGCCAGGGATTTGCATGAAAACCATCATATGCTATCTAATTATTCTGACAACAGCAGCCCGCCGTCTGGGCACAAGGAGAATCGCAGTTTTAATTAACAGTAATGCACCTTGCAGATGAATGTGACTGTTTAGGTTAATTAACAAGTCCAAGTCCTTCCAAATCATCTTTAGACATCTAGGTGTGGAGCAGGCAAGGGGGTGGTTAGAGGACAGTTCAGCAGAAGTATCATACTAGTTCTCCTAAACCCATTTGATGAAGGGAAGAGGGAATCTCCAGGCGACTGCTTCTGGACACTATGTTTAGGGAAACCGGGAGACTGTGCCTTAGAGATATATATTAGCATCACACTTAAATTTGAGAAAATGTTTTAGGTACTGTTTGTACCTGAGAGGGCCAAGTCCTTGCAATCCTCAACGATGTCTTCTTATTCATTGTCCAGCTGTTTATAAACTTGATTTCCAAACTGAGAGCCCTGACTTCCCCATCCCTGCCATTCTGCCTCATTTATCTTGGTAGGCTTCTACCACATCTGGAAGCATTTAAAGTTGCCTATGCCATAGGATTTCCCACATAATATCTCAAATCTGCTCTTGCTTAAAGATAATTATTAACACTCCCCCCCCCCCATAGTTCTCTGAGTCCTGGAAGAAGACGTCATATGTAGGATCAAATGTCATCCTTTGCTTTTCTAGTTTCCTTTCCTCCCTCTCTCCCTCCCTCCCTCTCTCCCTCCCTCCCTCAATTCTTTCTTTCTTTCTTTGTCAGTGGTGGGGCTTGAACTCAGGGCCTGGTACCATCCCTGAGCTTTTGTTTTGCTCAAGGTTAGTACTCTACCACTTTGAGCCACAGCACATTCCACTTCTGGTGGTTAATTGGTGATAAGTGTCTCCTAGACTTTCCTGCCTGGGCTGGCTTTGGACCATGATCTTCACATCTCAGCCTTCCAAGTAGCTAGGATTACAGACATGAGCTGCCAGAGCCCAGCCTTCTGGTTTTTTCTTTGTCTTCTTCTTCCAGATAGATCAGTTATTACTAAGGAAGGGGGCAGGGTCTACATCACTTAGGGAATCAAGCCAATGGTATAGAATCTCTCTGAAAGAAAAAAGAATATTACACTTCAACTTTGGCATTCAGTTCCTCCCTGCTGCACTTAGGGCTAATCCCAAGTGCTCTGAACCAACTTGTAGGCCTTCCATTATCAGTCTGTGGCTTTGTCTCCCCCTGTTCACTAAGCTTTATTCCCCGTGGGGGATTTTCTCTTCTCTGAAAAGATGGATGGGAAAATCTCTTCTCTACTTTAAGAGTCCTTTCACTTGACATCTCTTCTGCCCAGAACTCTCTTTGTTGTGTTCTTAGCGTGATGACTCATACTTTCTTATCCTTGGAATCTCAGTGCAAATATTAAATCAAAGTCTGACCTTCCCTGGTATCTGATGGGAAGTGGTGCTGGCTTCTCTGCGTACCCCATTTTCCTCTAGCAGTTCACTTGGGCTATATTTGTTGTAGCATGCATCTCATGCCAGCACTGTCTTGGTGATTCACTTATTAGCTTAAAAATTCATTACCTGTCCACCCCTTCCTTTCATTATCAGACAATATAAGCTCCAAGAGCAGAAGATCTTTTCTTTCTTTCTTTCTTTTTTGTGGTCATCATACAGTCAGAGCTGAGTAAACACTGATTAAATACTTGAATTTATTAATTCATTTTATATATAAAGCGCTTTTTTTTTTTTGCATACTGCAGGATTCACATGCCAGTGGATAAAGGAAAACAGACAAATAATTGGCACAGACTACAACATTTTCCCCTAAGTCTTCAAGACATCTCTTTCAGGTCATTTGGTCATTGTAGAACTGGGAGTCAATTTTCCATGTCAAGTTTTGACCAACAGAGGGACAATTTCACCAATGTGCCTGAGCCACATGTTGGAGAAACAATGCTTTCTTTCCTTTGAGAAAGGAAAGCAACAGCTGGGCTTGGGACAGCAAGGCAAAAAGCGATTCAAAAGCAAGTGTGTCAAAGGACACTCCCTAAAGTCTAGAAGACAAAGTCTTCCATTGGCTCAGAATTAAAACTACAGCTTAAACATGTCCTCGGGCTTTATCACTCTAAGAAAGGAGCTCACGCTTCTTTGAGCCTAAAGGTCACTTCAGTCTATGTTTTAGGGTCCTCTGCCACTCCATTCTAATTTCAACTTCCTGCATCTCCCAGCCCACGCCCTTCAAAACAGAAGCTCTCTTTTCCATTTTCTTCTTTCACCCTTTG